TGTGACTCTCTTCAGAAAGGATCAAAATGAATATTGCCCTCCTCACATCAAAGATTTTCTTGAGAGCGCAAAGCGAGGGCCACTTTCCTGCCTATCCAGTGTTCCTGCTTTTCAAGTGATCAGAACAGATCCCTTCTTCAAAAATCGCGGTCAGACCCAAGGCAAGAGAAGCGATGACCTCCTTCTACCTTCTATTGAATAAATGAGAGTCACTCCGAACACTCCTTTCTACTCATCATGCTGGAAATACAGCAGGTGGTGCCTTGTGCACAATTCAAATCCTAATTCTACCCTGCTTTAACCCCTTCTTGATCCCGTCGTTGTCAGGGGATGAGGCAGGCTGGAGGGGTGGCCGTGCCATGTCATTTAGGCTTACTCCTTAAAGCAGTGAATCATAAAAAATAAATAAGGAGACTGGTCGTATTGCATGCTTTTCTGCCAGAATAAACAGAGGCCATTTCATACCTGAAATTTTGTGATTCAGGCCATCATCTTGAATGAGAATTATATTGTGTGGTTGTAATTCACATACAGTAGGTAATAAAAGGTTAAATGTAGTGATGGTTTCTGCTTGTCTGGCTGGCGCCTTTCATGGAATATGATTTTTGAAGCATTACGTGTTATTAACTACTTTTCTGTAAGTCTGCCCCAGGTCTGTCGGGGTTAATGAAGGCAGTGTTAAAAAGGCATGGTTCATGGTAAGAAGCTTCCTTACAGAGATCAGAAACCATGCCAGTAACCAGCTCCAGCCAGCAAGGAGACCTGAATGAATGCTCTTTTGTATAATGATGGTGGTGGCTGTGACATGGACAGGCCCCAGATCAGATAGGAATCTTGGTGTAAGCAACAGAAACCAACTCTGAGTAACCTAAGCCAGAAAGGGGATTTATTGGAAACATTCTAAGTAGGTCCTGGTGTCAAAGGAAAAGCTGAACAGCCAGGCCCCAGGAATGACTGAATGAGGGTTGCTCCAATGAGCTCAACAATAGGACTCATGCATCAATGTTTGAGTGTCTCCACTCAAGAGTGGATTTCAGGAGAAAGATGATCTAATTGGCCCATTTGGTGCCCTGGCTATTCCTGTGGTCAAGTAGTTGGAATCCTATGTTGGGCAGCCCCATAAAAATCGCAGAGAATAGGGCAGGCACCGTGGTTCATAACTGTAATCCTAGCACTTTGGGAGGCCGAGGTGGGAGGATCACTTGGGGCCAGGAATTCAAGACTATCCTGAGCAAGAGCGAGACCCTGCCTCTACTAAACATAGAAACAATTAACCAGGCATGGTGGTGCACACCTGTAGTCCCAGCTACTCGGGAGGCTGAGGCAGGAGAATGGCTTGAGCCCAGGAGTTCAAGGCCACAGTGGTCTATGATTGCACCACTACACTCCAGCCTGGATGACAGTGAGACCCCCCTTTCTAAAAAAAAAAAATAATATGAAATACATAAATAAATAAAATAAAAATAATTAAAACAAAATATAATACGGAGATTAGCCTGGATTATCCGGTGCACCCAATGTAATCACATGAGTCAGACAGATTCGGCAGAAGGAGAAGTTAGAGAAGCTCTGAGCATGAGAAAGACTGGATCCTATTGTTGGAGAAGGGCCACAAGGGAAATATTAGAAGGAATCCAAGCAGCCTCTGGGAGCAAGCATTAGCCTCTGAGTGACAACCAAGAAGGGCACAGGGACCCCTGTCCTACAACTGCAAGGAACTTCATGGGGCCAACAACCTGAAAGAGCCTAGGGGTGGCTTCATACCCAAAGCTTCCAGAGAAAAACCCAGCCTTGCCCACATCTTGATTTTAACCTTAAGAGACTCAAAGCAGAGGACCCATTTGGACCACTCTGTACTTGGACTTCTGACCTGCAGAACTATGAAATAATAACTTGTGTTGTTTTAAGCCACTCTATATGTGGTAATTTCTTACAGCAGCCATAGAAAACCAATACAGAGGTCACACAGATGTTTTCCCTACTATAGCATTGGTACCAGCATCTTATGTGTTTTTTTGATGACTATGTGGAAAGATAAAGTCTCTAGGTTTATCGACCTGATCATAATTGTTTGGCTGCATTGTTAGCAGTAACAAGAACAATAAAAACAAACAAACAAACAACTTTATTGCACACCTACCATATGATACATATTTCATAGCCATTATAATTTTTTTAATTCACACTAAAAAAAGATTTTACACATTTAAAATTCTCCTTATTGCTGCATCCTAGAACATGGGGATACTGATAATGCCTCCTTCACTGGACCTGTATAAGGATGGAATAAGATGCAGAGAGGCGACGTACCTCACCAAATTCACACAAAGAGTAAGAGATAGAGTGAGATTAAAACCCCATTTTGTCTGACCCAAACCCATGTCCTTTCTACTAAGCCACACTGCCTCCACAGTACCGTGATGGAAGCATCCCAAAATAATGTGTAGCTCAACTGGCCTCCCATATCACTTCATGGCCTCAAGATTCTCCAATGTCTCAGATATATGGGGCAGTGGAAAGAGCACTGGACAGGGAGTCCCCTGACCAGGTCTCCATCCCTCTACCACTAGGTCTATGGGGCGGTGGGGAGGCAAGAACCTATTGAAAGTTGCAGCCAGTTCTCAATTCTCCTTGGTTTTCTGCCTCATTGGGCTCTCTTGGGTCTCCCCTATGCATGTGTAATCTTTGGTCAGCAGGAATATGTGGAGAACTTACCTCTGCCCTTTCGTAGACCTCTGGTTTCCAGGATCTTCCCCTTAAATTTCTGACTGGTCCCTAGCTCACCCCACCAAGAATGCAATCTTGGGCTGCCAAAGTCACTGGTTTTCCTTTTTCTTTCCCAATCGAGCTTTGTACTTTTAAACCAGCAAAGCCACAGGTTTACACACACATACACCACACCCAAACTGAGCCCATCCCTTCTGGCAGCAAAGTTGCCCATTGTCACAGGCGGCCCCGCACTTTTAAAGCCACGGTTTGGGCCAGTTGAGCTGGTGGGAGAGGATAGAGCAGCTCCAGGCAAGAAGGCAGCTCCTATTCTTACACACAGCTCCAGCAGTTCTTCAGGAATAAAAGCTTCTCCATTGTTGTCTGCCTTTGTCAATTTACAGGGCTTTGCAATGGTTGTTCTTGGGGATTTTTTTTCTTCATAATTTTTTTCCCCAGTTTTCTGTTTGTTTCCTGAAGAACCAACTGACCTTTCATGCTGCCGCAGCCGGAAGTCGTGCCCACCATTTCCGGTGAGATGCTCCGTGGTGGCTCCAGGGGAACCAGTAGTGGGAACTCCTGCTCTACTTGTCTCTTTCCGCTGGCCCAGACCAGCCCCAAAACTGTGTCTAAGAGGTAGACGTCTATGTCCTTCAGAACTACCTCCCAGAAACTCTTCTCTCCACATTTCCCTGCTCTTCCCTGGGATAGACAAAATGGAGTCAGGATTTTGCAATAAACAGAATCTATTTCTGTCATATGCATATTATCCGATATCAGAAAACATACAAGTCTGGCTGCTGAAGCTTCAGCTTTGACTGTCACTCTGTATTTTTCACTGCAGTTAATGAACCATAACTGCCCCCAAATACTCTAGCTTTCAGACTATTGGAGCCAGCATTCCAAACTGGGTATCAATTTATCATTGCATTTATATGAAAGAACAAAAAAGGGCTTTGTTTGTGTGTTTTTTCCTACTCAAGCCTGACTCCTTATAGCTGACAGCTTAGCCCTGGACCATTTTAGACAATGGACCAGAATGGCTAAGCCTGCTGTTCCTCTTTATTTTTGCTACACTAGCCCTACATTATTATCCTCCTTTTAGAACTCTCAGAAAGTAAGGAAACCAACAGCCACCCCACCCCATGGCAGTGGGGTGATGTAGTTATTGTAAGCTGCTTGTGAATCAAGATGCCATCCACTTATTATTTGTAGTCTGAATAAATAGCGTAGGTACAACCACTTTTCAAATGCATGTACATCTTCATTGTAAAGTGTTGGTGAGTTGCAGTAGCTATTAATAGTATTATTGCACATTTTCTCTAACATTGAATATCAAGTCTACAGCTACTAAAATCATCCTGGAAGGGGAGAGGGGTGGTCAATGAAATATATTGATGCTAGAAAGTATTCCTCATTCTCAAAAAGATTGGGAATCACTTTTCCAGGGAAACAGAATCTCTAGCAAAAGAGCATCCCTTCCCTTCTTTGGTCTAGGGAAGGATCAATAGCAAAGACTCTGTCCCCCACCACTACCACCACCTCTGGCTCATGTCCATGACCTTGGCCAGCTGCTGAGTGTGGCATCCCTTTGGAATAGGGTAGACACTGGTCTGGGAGTCTGAAAAGCTAACTTCTACTGAGATCTGCCATTAACTTGCTAGAAAACCTTGGTTTTTCGCTTTAATTTCTTGGGCCTCCATTTATAAAACAGTATCACTAAATGATATCAAAGACCCTTGCCAGCTCATCCATTCTTTGACTCAACAAATTGTAATTCTAGGCATCTTGCACACATCTTCCTCCTCATAAACTCCAGAATAGCCACACGTCTTTTACAGATAATTGTATTGTCCATCTAAGTGTCAACAGTCTCTTCACTTGGCTACTGATCGTACAAATAAAGTTCAGTGCAAGGTACAAGTGGCCGACAGCACAGGACTCAGGTGGAGGAACATGCCCAGCCCTACCCGTCCCAACAACGGCCACCATTTATGGGCATTTACTACGTGCCAGGCACGACCGTAAGTGATTTTTTTGTATATTAGGTCATGTGATTCCCTCAACACCCTATGAGGTATCCTGTTAATGACCCCCCTTTCCAGATCCTTCTGCAGCCTGTGACTGCATCATCTTCACATCTCCTAGATCTTTCCCTTACAGAGAGATGAAGTATGTATTTGTTCTTAGAATATAATTCATAAACACACAAGCCACCACCATGGGGGGCCCTGTCATGAAACACAGCAAGATTCAGGAAAGAAAATAAAAGGTTCAGTTAACTTTTACCATTTAATAGTTCCTTCTTTGAAGCAAATGTAAAATGTCTGTGCAATTATCCTTAATTCTCACTGGCAGCAGGATAGAATCCGGTGATTTGGAGTCTTCTATTCCCTTGAGTGAATCTTAAAGGGAAAACACATAGGCCGTGGGCAAGGCATAAACTGGACAGAGTTCTTTGCAGCTGAAAGTCTGATACAAGAAATCGTGACTCCTGCCACTGAGTCAACCAGCCCCGTCCCTAACGCCTTTGATAACTTCCTCAACCAGAACCCAACCCAAAGAAAACCGGGCCGGGCTCACCCCAGACACACCAAATTAGAATAAAACTTGGCAAACAACGATTACACACAGGGCTGATAGTGTTGCTATGAAGTCATCCTCCCTATATAATGCTTGTATCTAAAATACATGCATGATTATAGATTTGGAAAGTAACATGACAAAACTAAGCAACAGCCTTTCTGAATCTGAATCAGAAAAAAAAAAATAAAACAGATGTCAGGGTGAATTCAGGAAAGAGCAGCAGTTAACCAGCTTACGTCAACCCAAGATGGGTGCATGTAGGCTGTGGGCCACAAAACAGGGGTGAGGGCAGCTGATGACTCAGGAACCAGAAATCGGTTAGAAACCGGAGTGGGAGTAGAAGGAGCTGGGCCTGCCGGCCCTGCGGCTAGGATGGATTAAGCCATAGGACTTCAGGTACCTGTCCCTGCTGTGCCTGGTATATTGCTTCAGCCTATAAGAGCCACACACAGCTTCTGACACATCGCCATAACAACTAATGGCTTATTTGTGAGTTCCGACTTATGGGCCAGGCACCTTGCCAGGAACTTCGCACACACACTCCGGATTTCATCCTTCCCGAGCCCTGTGAGCAAAGCACTGTGAGTCCCATTTTGTAAATAAGAAATGCGAGGGGCTAAGCACCTTACCTGAAGACATGTGCTGTGCTTGGTAACTGCTGAAGCTACAGTTCAGACTCAGAGGCTCGTGCCTGACCGCTGTGCCGTGCTGCTTTGGTAAATCTGCTGACTTTTCTTGGAAAAGGAAAGCTGTGAAGACAGGGTGCTAAACTGTCACAACCCAATTTTGCCAAAGGCACAGAAATTGTTTTAGGCTTGGGCCTGGGCAGGGGACAGTGGGAAGCAACAGGAATGACACCGTCAAGGGGGACAGCGTTTCCCCCTACACCTACGCCAGAAGTGACCACGCGAACACATGGGGGTCACCCCCATGGAGACCAGGGGTGGGGGCAGCGGGCACAGAACCCTCCTGGCCTCTGAGGAACAGGAATCCTTCGCAGGTAGAAGAAAGTGCCGTTGCCATGGCTACCACCACAAATTCTTGGCCCAATCCTAAGGCAGTAGCTTGAGTCCTCATTCAGAGAGGCCTGGTTTTCGGGGGGCGGTGGGTGGAAATGAAATATAATAAAAAAGAATCAGAGCCTCTGTCAGCCACAGCAGCGCTCCACAAAGGGGCTGTGTCTCTGCCCGGCTCCCAATCTAAACAGATTAACCGCAAGCGCCCGGCGGCCACTGAAAGGCGCCAAGCAGAAGCTGAAGCACCCTTTCATACCTGACAGTATCCCAGATGGGGCTTAGCATGGCTTTACTAAGGAACCTGCCAGAATAAATACGTTGCGCCGTTCCGGCAGGATCCTGTTCCAGCTGTGGGTCTCCGGCAGCAGCCTGCAGTTGGTGGCACACAATGCTGGCTTTCTCCTGGCCAGTCAGCCCTCATCTACCCATCTGAGCTAAGCCCGGGGGCTCTGGGTGCTTTCCTACCCAGCCTGCAGCTCTGCCTGCAGATCTGCTATTCCTAAAAACCCCCTGTTTAAATGGAGGCTGTGTTGTGATTTCTCTCCAATAATGGCTTGCTCATTCTGCAAGAGGTCTGTCCCAGCACGAGGAAGCCTGATGCCACCACCCCGTCCCCTACGATGGCGCCTGCCTCTCTGTCCCCAGTGCAATGCCAGGCACACACGCATGCACTGACCGCACACCTGGAAGGGCACGCCAAAGTTCCAGGGCCAGGGAATAGGCTGCAAGAGCTTAAACTCCCCACTGGGCTGACCCACCCCCACAGCCACCACGCTATTCCAGAAGACAGTCACCAGCTGGGAACTGTACAAACTGGGTCCTGCTTTTCCATCTTTCACCCCTGCACTGAAGTGCCAACAAAAGCACTCAATGCCTAGAAAGAAAAAAAAAACTACCCAAATCCTAAATCTTCCTGTACCTCAGAAGAGCTCAAAAACAGTGCCAATTAATTAGAATTAATTGCCAATTAATTAGAACCTGTTGACAATAGGTTCCATAATCCTTCATTTATATCTTAGCTCATGCAGAAATTACTGAAGCATTCAATGGAATTCTAAACATGTGAAAGAAAATATTTATCCCATTTTTGGACCCTAATGGGGTAAAGTATTTTCCCTTGTCTGCATTCAACTGCTATTGTGCTTTCATTCTTCCAGAGAACTTTTACTGTTTTATCTCTTCTGAAGTTTAACTGCTTGAGAAGAGAAGAGTAGACTTTATGATACGCATTGCACAAGTGAGGCAGCAGAAACCAACGAGGCCCAGGTGATGGGTTCAAGGTCAGTGGCTCAACAGTTCTCTCAGGACAGGACCAGAGCACAATTTTAGTGAGTCTTGGTCTAGGGCTCTATCCACTTCTCCAGAATAATCATCGGTCTCTGCTGGGCTCCTGTCCTGGGTTGACCCGAGGGCTGAGTGGATTAAGGAGATCAGTTTTCCTTTCATTAACGGTATCAGTGATTGCCTGGAGGAAGGGGACCTGTGTGGCTGGAGCCAGGGGTGAAAGGGAGACTTTCTTTTTACTGTGTACTCTTGTGTGGCTTTGACTTGTGTACCATATGCATGAATCAACTGTTTGGAAAATAACTGGCATTTAATTTTAAAGGCTTTCTTTTTGCACATCGATTTTATCCTACTCCCAAATTAATTGAAATAGGTTGCGATTACTGTGATCTTAAGCCCACAATATGGACTATGAGAGCATATCGTGGATGGGCCCACAGCTAAGCCCGAATGGAACAGACTGAGACAAAAGACACTGACACAGTTACCCTCACTACACCCACAAGGTGCATAGTTCAGTGGATATAAAATAGCCAGTTCTTAATTGTCTGTGTTGGTGAAAGAAAGTCATAGGGTAGTAGTCTGAAATGTAAGTAAACATAAAAAGTTATATTTAATTTATCTTCAGCTTTAGAATGTGTTTGCACACTTTGGAATATGGATCTGTTTTCTTCCATGAACTTATGATATTGCAAACTAAATAAACCCAAAGAACTGAAATATTGGGAAACTGTCCATAATTTCCCTCTGTGTCTCTGAGGATGCTTTTGGCAGCAGGAAATAAAACTCCTACTTGAAGGAGGAAATTTAAACTATCTCACAAAACTGAAAGACCACAGGTCAGGGTCTCGGGGTTTGTTGATGCAGCAGCTCGGCCATGTCACTGAGGTCCCAGGTCCTTCCACTGTCCTCAGTGCTGGCTTGGTCCCCAGGCAATATGGCAGCAGGGCTCCGGGCATCACCTCCAGATACCACAGGGTCAAGGAAAGGAACCATTTTTTTTTTTCATAGAACAAGGAAGCCCCTCTCAGAATCTTCCCACTCTCCCTCTACCCCCAGACGTAAGGGCATGTCTTGTTTCATCATGTGGCATTCTAGAACCAACCACTAGCAAAGGAAGAGGATAACTGCAATGCGCTTAGACCAGTCAAACACTGGCTTCAATGTCCCCCCAAGAAGTCCTTTCCCGAAGTCACTCCCCGAGAGGCAACACAGAGGAATAGACTGAGATTTTTTACTAACACTGAGCATCAATTTACAGAGAGATGTCTCCCGCCCACTCTTTCCTTTCGGGTTTATTCCTGCTGAGGAATGGTGAGAAACTATATATTTTAGTTTCATGTTCCTGCTACCTGAGCGCTGTAAGTAATGGAAATAAGTATAAACAAAGATAATGCTCACATTATGAAAAGACAACTTAGACTGAGTAGGAGGTGAGTTCGGTGAGCGGTTAAAAGCAAGACTTGCCATGAGGGAACACAATAAAAAGCAGCCACCCCCGTGTTTGAGGTGAACCTGTCTATCAGGATGGGTATCGTGCTCGTTGTTGTCATTTCCAGAAATCTACCTGAGCCAACCAAGGGTGTCTGTCAAGGCTAATGATTAGAGGAAGTGTGTGGCGTACAGGTGTCATCGATTCAAAAGTTCCTTGTGCAGAGTGGTCTCGCCCTCGGCTCCGGTCCCCGCCCCAGAGGTACAGAAGTGGACACTCAGGGAGTGTTCTCATTAACGGCATACAGTCCCACAGGAGAAAGGATGGATTGATGTCACTAACTTGCTGAGATAATAACCACCTTGGCTGCACAAAGCCCCAGTTGGAGGTTAAAAAGAGAATTGCCTGCAAGCAATTTGCACGGAGCAGCTAAGAAATAAAACACAGTGTCAGATGGACCACTGAAAACCAGCATGGGAATCTGCTCCTTTTTTTTCCCCCTCCTCTGGAAAGAAACAGAAGGTACAGCCACTGGCTCCATTTATTTTTGGAGGAGGGAGAAGGGAAAAGAAGAGAAATAGAAAAAGATGTAGACATATGGATTGATCTAATTCAACCCTAGAGAAAAACATCCATCTCAGCATGCCAGGGTTAAGAAGGGCCGTACACTCGTGACCTGCTCCGCCAGAACTGCACAGTTTGGTCTTGCTTTTTATTAGTAGAAAGGGCAATCATGCCAGCATGGGAACTTTCCAGAATCAAAAATTGTAGAAAAAATGGCCAATTCTTCTTGTAGCACACACAGTCACACTGTTCTTGAGCAGTGCTTCTCAAGCGTCAGCATGACGGGAGTCACCCGGGAGCTTGCACAAATGCAGACTCCGACCCAGGAGGTCTGGGGTGAGTCCAACAGTCTGCATTTCTAACAAGCTCCTGGGTGATGCTAATGCTGCCATGGGGATTGCATTCTGAGTAGCCAGGTTCTAGGCTGCCTACGGTAGAACAGAAGGTTTATGGAGTTAAAAGTTGGTGTGATTTTAAGATGTGTAGATTTCAAGATAGGAACAAACCTTTAAAGGTTAGCTAACATAGATTAATATCCAGAGCATGTAAAAAACTCCTACAACTCAACAACAACAACAAAAAGTCCAATTTAAAAATGGGCAAAAGGCTGGACATGGTGGGTCTTGCCCATAATCCTAGCACTCTGGGAGTTTGAGATCAGCCTGAGCAAGAGCGAGACCCCGTCTCTACTAAAATTAGAAAAATTAGCCGGGCACAGGGGCACACGCCTATAGTCCCAGCTACTTGGGAGGCTGAGGCAGGAAGATGTCTCAAGCCCAGGAGTTTGAGGCTGCTGTGAGCTATGATGACGCCATTGCACTCTAGCCAGAACAACAGAGCAAGACTCCGTCTCAAAATAAAAATAAAAATGGGCAAGGGACTTGAATAGACATTTCTCCAAAGAAGATATACAAATGTCCAGTAAGCACATGAAAAAATGTTCAAACTTCATTAATCATTAGGAAAATGCAAATTAAGACCACAATGAGATATCACTTCACCCCCATTTGGATGGCTACCATAAAAAAAAAAACAAAAAAAAAACAGAAAATAACAAGTGTTGGTGAGGATGAGGAAAAATTTAAACCCTTGTGCATTGCTGATGGGAATGTAAAATGGTCAGCCCACTATGGAAACCAGTATGGTATTTTCTCAAAAAAATAAATGTAAAATTACCCATATGGTCCAGCAATTTCACTTCTGGGTATAAACACAAAAGAACTGAAAGCAGGGACTCGAACAGATATTTATACCCCAGTGTTCCTAGCAGCATTATTTCACAATAGCCAGAAGGTAGAAATAACCCAAATATCCATTGATGCATGAATAGATAAATAAAATGTGTTATAAACATCCAACGGACTATTATTCAGCCTTAAAAAAAGACTGAAATCCTGACACATGCTACAACATGGATGAAGCTTGAAGACATTACACTAAATTAAATAAGCCAGACACAAAAGGGCAAATATTGTGTGATTACACTTTTATGAGGGACCTGGAGGAATCAAATTCACAGAGACAGAAAGTAGAAAGGTGGTTACCAGGGGCTGGGGAGAAAGGAGAATGAGAAGTTCTTGTTTAATGGGGATGAACTTTCAGTTTGGGAAGATGAACGCGTTCTGGGTGGACGGTAGTGATGGTTGCACGACAATGTGAATATACTTAATGCCACTTAAAAACGG